AACCTGGCACTCTCTGGTGGTGTGCTGAGATCACAGCTGCTGCACTAATGGAGCTTGGAACCCACTGTCTCGGGTTTTCTGCTAGGATCTCAGCCTTGGCCTACCAAAGCCAGATCTGCCCTGGGGCCTTGGGATGGGGCCTTTCTAAATCCCAGGTAAGGGGATGGCTAGGCACAATTAGGGGAAGCTCACCACCATATGGAGGCAGGATCCGGGCACTCTCAGGCAGTCCCCTGCATTTTCAGCCCCTATGCCAGAGGGAGGCCAGAACCCGGCACTCTCTGGTGCTGTGTTGAGATCATAGCCTCTATATTGATAGAGGTCAGAGCCCACCCTCTCAAACTGTCTGCTAGGATCTCAGCCTTCCCCTCCTATTAATTTAATATTGCCATCAACCAAGGTTTTTGTCAGCTTTATTAAACCCAAACCTTGGTCAGCAAAAAGAATGTTAAGAGCTGCGCCGTATCCCTACATTCCATTTGCCTTTATTCGTGATTATACTGGCAGTCATCTTGTACTGTAGATGAAGCTGGCAATGCGAGGTAAACTTGAGAAGCCTACAGAGCTTGGAAAGAAGAAGAAATATGGAATACACCTAAGTTATGAAGTCTTGGATCACCTGCAGAGATATCCTGCGTATGATTTGCCTGTGTTTTAAGTTTATACTACAATTTATCTCTACCCTGTAATTCATTTGGCAGAGTTCATGATACCTGCCTAAGTCTTAGCACTCTTCCCTTCCTAAGATTCCAGGTTACCTCTTAGCCATAAAGTTATATTCCTATTCACACTGTTCTGAAACATGGTTATAGCCATTTACATGAATATGGTCATCACCACTATCCTGAAAGCAATGCTGCTTTCTCCTGTCCTACACAGGCAGCTTTTCATAGAAATGTAAAATGACCATGACTCTAGTGCTGATACAGGAGCTGTTGGCATTCTTCCTTTAAACAAGGCCTGAAGTGTATTTTGCTTCTTCTTAATCCAGGTTTGCCCATTCTAAATCTCCCTTCTTTTATCCATGAACAGCTGCTGAAGTACCAGCAGGCCATCTGGCCCAAATAGAGAGGGTTAAGGTATAAATTGGAACTGTGGCTCTTCTAATTTAGCATGACAGTTTGTACTGATCAGGTTAATGGGGATAATTTCTCTTTGGCTTGTATAGAGACATGAAAATTTAATCTGATTTGCTATTAATTACTCTGTCCAATCATTAGCATAATGTTTCGCTAAACAGAGGAAAATCTATTCACATTGCACAGGCAAGTGCATCAGCCAAAGCACTATAATAGGAAAGTGTTTCCTTTTGAGTTCATCAGGGAATCTGTACTACCACTGGGAGGAGGACACACACTTTGACATGTTTCTTTGTATTATGGCTAGGTTGTCCTGAGCCATACACAGTCTTCCTGCTGCCTTTAGGGAATTACACATATTTATGAGATGGTTGGCAGAGGATCCTAGAGTACGCTTTGGTTTAGAGAACAGAGTGAAGAGAACTGGCCCACAGGAGATTAAATAATCAGAACTTGAATGGGAGCAACACAATGCTTTGTGAAACAAATAACATGACTTTACATGGTTCTTTTTCATTCTTTTATTAACAAATATTTATTGAACAATTATTCTGTGTTAAATGCTGTACCAGCTGCTGAAGTTATAGAAGTCTAATGCTGATATAGACTCTGCCTTGGCGAGGTTTATAGTGTAGGTAGTAGATATGCATATGCGTGTTATATTCAGATAATTACTTAATTGCAGTTGTGAAAAATTTATAGTGAAAAAGTCAGAGTGCTATAAAAGCATGTTATAAAATGATTGGTTGACATAAAAAAGACTGTCCAAAAGAAAAGAGGGATGGTGCCTGGTATTGTGGAGTACATTTACAATCCTAGCACTTGGAAGGTAGAAGTAGAAGGATTACTAAGAGTTTGAGAGCAATGTCAGCTACATGAGACCTAGTCTCAAAAAGAGAGAGACAGAAAAGGGGGGATTAAAAAAAGAGGGAGAGAAGCAGATAAACAATGGAGTGTGTGGAAGTTGTGAGGAGGCAAGTGGTTTTGAGGTACATAAAGCCAAGGAGATAGGAATTCAAAGAGTTGAGATTTAGAAGTGAATTATACCTTCTAGGCCACGAATGGGGTCAAGATAAAGCACATGACAATTGGATCTTGTAACACATATCATGTTGCTCATATCCCTGCAAAATTTGGGCTTTATCATAGGGAGAAATGGAAGTTGTTAAAGATTTCTAGGTTTAGCTGATGTGGGGCAGCAGATATTTATAAATTTTCCTAATGGTAAGCACACTAAACAAATCCTTCAACTCCATTTAGAAAGCTGGATTCAATATAAGAGTCATGTATGGATGGAGTAGATGAGGCATTTCCACTGTGCATCTGCACAGAAGGCAGAAGCCCTGAGAGGCTGAACAGTAATTACACTTCTACTCTAGATACAGGTTTTAACCACAAGGAGTGTGTTCTGCAGTTTCTATTTCATAATTGGGGGGCAATTACAAGAAGTTAAAACTAGATTACGGACAATTAGGTCCTGTACACCAGGGAGCTCTGTGGGTGGTCGGGACAGGAGTAGGAAGAACCAGATGGGAAAATGTTTCCCAAACTTCTCGGCTTTCTTGGACTCATTTTGTAAGTGGTAGTTTGGGGGATATCTATCTGTGCTTCTGGTGTCCCTAGAGGTGGCACCAGAAATAAGGGAAAGCCATACCACACCACACACATCACTGATAGTCAATCAAGATTACTTTTTCCTCAAGTCAGGGGTTTTTGGAGGCTAGATGCCAATAAATGGAAACCAGTAGCAAAACCAGATGATGAACACATTCAAATTCCACCGAAGAGGTGTTACTGGAGCAACGATATATTTTTTCTCACTCTGGTTCTAGATACTGTGGAGTAAATGTAGCAAGCATGAGAACTTACCTTTGAGGAGCTTCCAAGATGATTTAGGAAATTTGGTGTGAGTAAAGCACAGAATAGGGGAAAAGGTAAAGCTAGAGTGAAATTAGGAGTAGGCCAGAGGCCTATCTGGCGAGCTCTGCCCCCATCCTTAGGATACTGAAGAATCATGGAGAATAATAAATAGGGAAGGGACAGGATTAGCTTTGGACTCTAAAAAGATCCATGTGTGCATTGTAGGAAGGCCCAAGAAGGAGACAGGAAGGAGAGGATTGGGGTTGTTCAGTTAGAGATGACTGTGGGGGAACAAGGTGTGGTCCTGACACTGAGGAAGAGACTGGGGAGAAGAGGTCAGTGTAGGAAGGAAAAAGTGACTTATTTTATTTTATCCACCACACAGGCATTGTTTTGACTAGTCATCAATTCATTTAATTAACAAATAATTATTTTTGCAGATACTTCGTGTGAAACACCATGCTAGAAGAAATTAAGAGAAATAAGAGCAATGATATTCCAGTCTTCGAGGGATTTGATTAACTGTTCAAGTGAGTGGAATAGTCAATAGCTGCTCTAGGATTTCAGAGACAATTTTGATCAGTGGAGAGGCAGATGATCTAAGAAAGTAGAGAAGATGAAGTAGAGTATCTGGAATGTTCATGAACCCTAAGGAGACGTACAGTGAAAGCCTTGTGAGACAGAAGCTAAGTGCTGATCATAAGAAGTGATAAGAGGATAAGGCACAATTTAGGTAGAGTATTATGACCATTTTGGGGAAGTATTCTTGGAGGATACCTTGTGTGGATACATATAGACACAAACATACAACATGACCAAGAAACTTAAGCATCAATAGATATTTCCATCAAATTTACTCATAAACATAGAGAAAAAGAATGTGAGGAAGGGAGGGGGCTTATGGCATGAAGCTTTTGTTGCAAGTTGAGTCTTTTCTATGATTGGCATGTATTAATTGTACATAATAACAGGCTTCATTGTGACATCTACGTATAGACATGTAATATACTTTGATCGTCTTCACTCCTTGTTATTCTCTTATCTCTGTTCCCCTTGAGCCCTGCTTTCTCCCAAATAATCCATCTTTTACTTTTATGTTGTGGGCTTTTTTTTTCTTTTTGATACAGGGTCTCCCTGTATCCCCAGCTGTCCTGGAACTCACCTTGTAGACCAGGCTGGCCTTGAACTCACAGAGATCCGCCTGCCTCTGCCTCCCAAGTGTTGGAATTAAAGGTGTGTGCCACCACGCCTGGCTATTTTTTATGTTGTTTTGTGTTTTATGCTTTCATGTTGTTTTAAAATCTAGGTTCCACATATGAGAGAAAATGTGATATTATTCTGAGTTTGGTTTATTTTATTTACATGGTGATCTCCAGCAAGCTCCATCCATTTTCCTTTAAATAACCTAAATTCAATGTCCTTTAGGTTGAATAAAACTTGTGTATCTGTGTGCATGTGTTGTGTGTATGCATGTGCACACATATGTGTGTATGTATCACATTTTTTAATCTTATCAGTTGATACACACTTAGGTTGATTATATACCTTGGTTCTTGTGAATGATCAAGTTGGGTGTTTCTAATTTCCTATTAAAAGGAACCAATATGAGGACTGGAGAGATGGCTCACTGTTTAAAAGCACTGGCTGCTTTTGCAGAAGAACTGTGTTCAGTTCCTGGCACCCACATGGCAGCCAACAGCCATCTGTAAAATCCTGTTCCAGAGGATCTGGCACCTTCTTCTGGCCTCCATGGGCATTGCATGACATGGGTGCGATTAGAACCTCATACATATAAAATAAAAAGAAATAAATTTTAAAACATATAAAAAGTATCCAGTATATGGCAGCGTATACTAATAGAGTCATGAATATCTTGGTAAATTTACTTTCTGTTCATGGATTAACCTGGAAACCTTAAGGATATTCGGCTATAAAGCTTGAGGGAGAGTCCCTGTTCTGCTGGTGATTTCCCCAGAAAAAGGGAACAGCAGTAACCTAGAATCCCAAGTTGTCGCACTCAATCCAACCCCTTTAGAGAAGCATAGGCTGCTAAGAAAAGGACTCCCCAGGGATGGAGAGGGCCATTAGTTCTCCATGGAATATTTCCACTGACTCAGGCGTTTCCTCACTGCCTTTTTAACATCCTTGTTTCGGAGACTGTACAAGATGGGATTAACCATGGGGGTGACCACAGTGTAGAGTAGTGAGAAGGTTTTGTTTAGGGCAGCAGCTTGAGTTGCTGTGGGGATAGCATACACTGTTCCCAGAGTTCCATAGTACAGAGTGACCACAATGAGGTGGGAGGAGCATGTGGAAAAGGCCCGTTGCTTTCCTGCAGCTGATGGTATCCTGAGGACAGCAACCACAATGTTTATGTAGGAGGCTACAGTAAGCAGAAAGGGCAAAATGGTGATAAAGGAGGCCATGAGAAAAGTAGTTTTTTCCACTACCTCAGGATCAGAACAAACAAGCTTCAGCACTGGGGCCAGGTCACAGAAGAAATGATCAATCTCATTGGATGCACAAAACTTCAGCTGGAAAGTCATAGCAACAGTGACCACAGGAGTTAGGAACCCACCCAGCCAAGATCCACCTGCAAGCAGGACACATGTGTGAAGGTTCATGAGAGATGGGTACTGGAGTGGGCTGCAGATAGCAAGGTAGCGGTCATATGACATGGCTGCCAGGAGGAAACATTCAACTACTGCCATGGAACCAAAGAAATAAAACTGAGCCACACAGCCTGCAAAAGTAATTGCCTCTGGACCTGAGAGAAGGGTATTCAACATCTTAGGAGCAATGGAGGTTGTATACCAGATCTCAAGGAAGGAGAAATTGGACAGAAAAAAGTACATGGGAGTTTGGAGGCTCTGGTCACTGGAAGTGACTGTAAGGATGAGAATGTTCCCCAGTAAGGTCACTACATAGATTCCAAGAAATATTCCAAAAAGGAAAAACTGTAACCCATGGAGATTTCCAAATCCCAGAAGGAGAAACTCTTTGATCACGGTCAGATTACCCATCGCTATGAGACTGATGCACAAGATCTGAGAAAAAGAAATATAATCAATTGGTAAAAAGAACAGTGCTACTGGAAGGGAGTAAGAGCACCAGAAGTACTTTCTGGAATCTAAGTGAAAGTCTCCATTTCTTCTTCCCTGGAAGGCATTTTGTACATTTCCTACTACGTGAGCTTATCTAATAGCTACTGTATCAGTTACTCTTCTCCTGGCTATGATGAATACCTGACAAGATAAAAACAAGGAAAGGTTTATTTGGACTCATGGCCTGAAGGATACAGTTCTTCACAATGGGGAAGGCATAGTGGCAGGCTGCTCTCTGGTGGCATGGACATGTGACTGGGATCCCTCTCTTCCTTACACTTCAGTGCAACGGGAAGCAGAAATGGGATAGAAAGCTGGAGTCAGGTTATAAACTTCAAGAGCTGCTCCCCGTAACCCACTTCTAGTGAGAATCCGTTTCCTAAAGGTTCAACAACCTTCCAAAACAGTGTCACTAGCTAGGAAGTAAGTGTTCAGACACATGAGCTTATGGGGGGCATTTCTCATTCAAACTGTAATAGCTATAAAAGAATCCCGTAACAGAGGGCAAATCATGCTTTTTCCACTTTTCTTTGACATAACATGATGAACTGACCTTTGAGAGGCTCTCAGTAAGAGGTAAACACTACATAATGGTGACACGGTACAGAAGCTTCTCTTAATATTGCCTGAACTTCTGAAACTCTGCTTTTAAGACTCAATAGAAATGTGAATCCAATGTTTTACAATAACAGCAAACCAGGCAACTCTTTCCCACTGCACCCACCTCCCCAAATCGGGGCAGATCTCTCTAGCATCATTACTGGCGGGAGGAAGGGAATTCAGAATTATTGATCTTAAAGTACATATATGAAGAAGAAATATTTCTGTCAGGCTCTGGGGATATGTAGCTGATTGCTTCCATGGCATCAAATTCCTATGGAAACTGGAGGGAAATGTATGTAAAGTTATTCACTTGAAATGTTAGAGAAAAATAATGTTCCATCCTTCATAAATGAAAATGACATTCCTGACTCACAAGCAGTAGGATGTGTATTTAGCTGTTTTTTTTTTTCTAGCAACGGGGACGGGTTAGCAATGAGTCATGGATGCAGCTTCCCCTTCCCTAGTTTCCCTCTGTGGTGCTCAAAGACCCATATTTATGAAGCGGCCATCTGATCTTAGTGCCTCAGCTGTGATATGATTAGAAATCAGTCTGTGCTGCAGCATAAATGAGGAGTAGGTGTGAGCATAGAGGTAGGGGCTTGATTCAGTCAGTATTCAAGGCTGAAGTCTCAGTCTGTGACCAGGGACTAAGCCACAGCCAGTTTTGTGCTTTGTTTTGGGTAATGATAATATTACCCTAAAAGGTTACACAAAAATCATATTTTTGCATTTTGCAGGTAAAATCTTAGTTGAGCTGCACTCAACAAGCTTGTTATTCAAAAGAGTCTTAAGAATGCTTCTGAAATATGAAGGAATTTCTCATAATTTATCTTTTATGCCAATCTGAATGATAGTGTACTAGGTTAAGAAGGATACACCTCTAGTGGAGGAATACAGGATGCTTAGGCTGCCCGAGGTGGCACTGACAATGATTACAATGTATAAAGAAAATCAATCAGTAACTAAGGTTGTCCCTGGGGGTGACAGCTGCTTCCTAATTGGGGAATTAAACTGCAGTGTCCTCTTACCATTTCAGTTTGTCTTCAGAGACTGCTAGCCTGCATTCAGAACCAACATTAACATCATTAGATTTTTATTATTCAATCCCAAGTCTCATTAATTAGTAATGATTGATTAGCTTGATTTTTTTCCTTTGGCATACAGGTGCATTCTTTGGTGTATCCAAATGCAAAAGCAAAGAGACTCTCTTAAACCACTCTTTTATTGCAGTGAAGAGAGATTAATAAAGATGAAAAAGGAAAGCTCAGAACTCTATTGTTTCATTCACTCAGCACATGTCCTTGGACACATACTATATACCATATTATTGGGATATGTAGGCACTGCAAATAAAACCCAAAATGAGAAAGTCATGGTATCAGTGTTCATAGAGATTACAATCTAATGAAAAGTAGGTATTAAACATATAAAATCATCAGAAGTTAAGTGTAAAATCATTATTGTGATAACTGTTATGAGAAAGACATATAGAGTTTTGATACAAAGAAAAATATGCATCAAAAGATTACATAGTTTTGGAACATGAATAAAGAAGAAACCTTTACGTATGTGTGTTTATCCTGAGGTCTGATGGATAAGGAATAATTATCTATGAGAGAATCAGAAGGCAAGTATGACAGGCAATCTGGGAAAACTGGTAAGAAAGCTAATTACTAGTTCAAGCAAGAGGTGGTGGCTAAGCATAAGCTGAGATGTAGTAAGATGACTTAATTTTAGGGCCCTTGTAGAGTAGCATAAACACTTCTTTGCATGTTTATTATACTTTAATAAAATAATTTTAAAAATAAAATAACTCAGAAATAAATTATATTAGGAGCAGCATGAGGTGCAAGAAGGAAATGAGGATAAGTCTTGAATTTTTAGCCTCAGCAACTTTGTGGATGACCATGTATTTTCCTGAGATAGGAAGATAAAGTGGGTGCAGGGATTTTTCTCCTCTCTCTCTCTCCCCTAACTCCCCCACCTCGGTTCATCAGGTCTACTGGGTTCTTATCCATTTCTGCAACGACAATATCTATCTTCACATGGGAAAATAACCTAGTGGCAAACAGACCTCTATTTCTGAGAGACATGGCTCTCGGTGTTATCACAAAACAAGCTCTTAAGCAAATGCATCACAAATTATTGCCTTCGGTTTCCAAAAACAACCAGAAACGAGAACAAATAGGTCAATGTAACCTTTACTCACCCTGTAGAAATTGCTCAAAGCCCAATGTTAAAAACTGAATATCAGGAACATCCTCTTTGTACATGAAGCACAAAAGAGCACAATTTGATGGGAAGTTTCAAAGCCCCTCCGGTGCAAGTGCCCCCAAAAGCATTATTAGACAATCCAATTACTCAGAACTTTCAATTACCTGTCTTTTTTTCACCAAATTTCTGTTTTGTTTCATTTTGCTTTTGCATGAAAGTGGCAGATGACAGTGAAATGAGTTGAGTCAAGAAAACAATTTCCAGGGGTTACTTTGGGGTCAGAATGCTTTCAATCTGACACTCTCTCTCTTCTCCAGCTTCATTAATAGTTCTGGGCAATAAGAATTAATGTTCCAAATGATGGCCAGAGGTTCTGAAAGATCTTCGATTAGTAGAGTGATTTAAGTGCATCGTTATTCTTGATTTACTAAAAAAGGACAGTGGACTTATCTATCTTAATGGAATTTTTAAGCAAACACAGTGGAAAACAGCTTTGTCCTTAACTTCCAGTTACCCAGAAAATCTAATTAACCAAGTCCCTTGTACACCCTTCCTTGATATTTTTTAATCAAGATTTGTCTCAGTATTAATATTCCCAATATATTATAACTATCAAAAGGTAGAGCTATTTTGTAGACAACATAAAATTCCCCAAATTCATGTTGACTACTATCTAGGATGTTACTTACAGCAGTGGTGACAGTATGCATAAGACTCATGACCAGCATAGTACTGGGGAAATGGACAGGAGGCTCCAACTTTAGCCAAGGAACTATCACTGATCATAAGGAACTATAGGTGATCGCTGCTGGGTGAGGGAGAGTCGATCTTCTTTAAGGAAGTGATGGTAGATAGGCTGAAAAGGCTCCAGTGGATGAACTCACACCAAGAGACATCTAAATAAATAGGTCTTAATACACATGACAGAATGCATGAAATCATGTGGGTGGGCTATGGGAGGGGTGCAAGTAGGGGAGGATGGTCTAAATACGATTAAGATGTATTGTATGATACACACACAATTTTAATACAAACACATTGAAAAATGGCAAAAATATGATCACAAAATTGAGAGTATAGAAACCTAAGTCAGGAATTAGAGACTAGTTACACAAGCCCTAAGATGTACCTTTGTAGGATCCATCCAGGAAACCCTCTTGGAAAAGGAGGTGGTAAGGTAAAAACTGAAACACAACTGAAGGTTGGTTGCTGCAAGGAAAACGTATGCAGTTGATATGGAGAGTGATGGTGTGGCTGTACCATTCATGTAGTCAGTGCTCTCCTTTTCTTTTGGCCCCACTTCTACATATTAAGACAGAATGTAAGCTTGAACTGTTAGGTCTATATTCTTCTTCTCAAAATGTAAATGGCTTATATCAGAACCAGTTGTTTAATGAGAGATCTTGGTAGCTTTTGCAAGTAAAGAAGGTCATCTCTGCAAACTGATCTTCACTATTTAAGTCAACCTTTGCTCCAAATACATATTGACTTCTTCCCTAAACTGATACCCAAGAGAGATGAGAGCAGGAAAACCAGCCAGAGACAGAATCTTTACAAGGGCAAGAAGAGATCCTTGACTGGTACTATACTGGTTCTCCTATTAAAGAGGAAGTTGATTATTTTGGTAAAGTCTTAAAATGTAATGATTTTCTTGAATGACTCAAGTCTGTGCCACACCATAGAATATTTTTGGAGAAAAATTTCTTTTTCATTTGAAAAGAACTTGTAGAATATTATAGGCAGCTCCATTTTTAAATGAATTGTACATTAATGCTAGAAACATCCTGGTATCCAAGGGAATGATTCTGTTATTTGTATTTTTGTGCCTCAAGACCTAGAGACAGGCATTGCTGGGATGCTTCAGACAAACATTATTGAGACTCAGAAACAGATTGGGAGATGGGCATTATTGAGACCTGGCAACAAATATTTCTAATTCAACTATACTTTTGGTGCCAAATATTTTTTTCCTGTTCTATTCCATTTGTCAACATGACAGACAATGAATCAGGAGAGGAAATATCTTGGACCAAATGATATATAATGTGTCATTATGTGGAATACCTGTAGCCTAAATGTGAAGAGTGGCAAAAATTATCTGGATAAGTTGTGCGAAAAACAAGCTCATACATTTTATCTCAAATATGACAATATAGCATGTGAAAATTTGGAGGCTATATTACTT